CTTTGGGCTTTCTCAAACAGAAACTTTGCTAGGAAGCCTTTGACACCACTCCTTATTTCCCAATGAGTTGTGACATCAGATGAATGCAAGTGTAGAGCTTGAGCAATCTCTTCTGGCTTTGGATCTCTTTCCGTACCGTTTAAAGGTAGTTGATTGAGAATGAGAATCCTCAAGAGTTGGGAGAATTCTTCCAAAGTAGGCACAAGTTGATAGTTGGGAAATGTGAAGCAATGGTGCAAAGGATCAAAGAACTGAAAAAGCACCTTCATCATGTCCTTATCTGTGTTTAAGGTGACCAAGTTGAGTAGCCGACCATGTCTCTCGGTGAATGGAGAGTTTTCAGGAATCCTTGAAGCTAGCTCCTTTAATTGTGGAGGGATTCTCACAAGATTGACTTGAATAGTTTTCCTGCGAAGTGAGTCCATATCCTACAAAACAAGGACAAAGATGAATCCCAAAATCCTTGAAATGGTTAGCGGATGCATATGATGTTCACGATGTCCATGATATTATGTACAAGTATGCATATATAAACAAAGCAAACAAGTCCTAGGTTTAAGCTTGCATGGGGTTTTATAGGTAAGTACCCTCTTGAAGTTTAGTTGGCTTAAACATGTCCTAGTAATAGTAACAGGGTTCTAAGGAGCTCAATATCACTGGTTCGTTTTCTCGGGAATTGTTTCAGCGCAAGCCTCTTTAATGGCGACCGAAATATCCCAAAAACCCAAACCTCAATGAGTGTAGTATCGATTATCTACCAACTTCGGACTGCACCAAAGTCGGTCATCTCACTACATCCTAAAGGCCAAGTTGGTCAAGTAAAGGTTCTAGAAGTTCATTAGTGCTTTATGACATCACTCAGCGGTCCCGTATTCTCTTTGATTAATTCAAAGGCTACCGGTACCCATAAATATGTCGCACTAACATAGCTATTGCTTAGACCATGCCGGTATACCCCGCACAGTTTCCACAATGTATTACTACTTACCTATAATGTATCCCAAATCCGGGGTAGAGGATTCAAACCCAAACAAAGAACCATAATGTAAAGCATACAAGTCAAACAAAGAAAGCAAATAAATGTGATTTAACCCTAAGATAACCCCACTTTAGAGTTAAGTCCCCAGCAGAGTTTCCAGTTCTGTGATACAGTGGGAGAACTGACTTGGGTGTTTTGCGTTTGTGATCGCAAATGTTGCAGTTAGCAAGAGTCGTCATCGACTTTTTTTTTATCCAAAAGGAAAGGTGAAAAAGCACATGAAAGACCTTTATAGATGTTTTCTTGAGTTCGGGGGGTAGATTATGAAAAGGGAAGGTATTATCACCCTTTTCATCCATGGTTTTCCATGGGCTCTTAGTTGCTTGCTAGATCACTTGCTTTTGTTTGAATGTGTGCTTGTGATGTGGGTTTTGAAAGTATTTTGAAAATGTGACTTTGTAATGATTCTCGTCTCTATAAGAATGCGTACAAAGTGTTTGTTTCGAAAATAGTTCAAAGAGATGTTTGTGGAATGTGTTTTTTGAAAGTGATTTTGAAAAGGGTTTTCTTTGTAATGGATCTCGTTTCTATAAGAACGCGTACAAAGTGTTGTCTTTTGAAAATGTTTAAAGACGAGAGTGTTGGTGTATAAAATGTTTTTGTTGTGAGCAAGCAAGCAACTAGGAGCGAATCTACCTACTCAAAAGGTCTTAATTGTTCTTTTCCTCCTCCTTTAGATATTGCCATCTTACCATTGTTTTGGTGAGAAGCCCCATCGTTGGATGTGAAGGGACAGCCGTGGGACGTTTGTATAGTCATAGAAGGCAACCTATGGGACGTTTTAGCAATGTCGTTTTTAGGGACTAGATCGTTTATCGAAGGCAACATTAAGGGTCATCGATGGACTACGATCTTTTATCGAGGGTCTTTTGCTAAAACGCCCATGTTCGAGGGACATGACTATTTTTCCGATAGGCAACAAAGTGAGATTACCCTAAGGGTGCATGTGTGCAAAGTGTGTTTGGTTGCATGCATTTTGTCTTGATTAGAGTGATCTATTTGTCAATTTTGTGTCTTGTCATACACACCCTAATTACTAATAATATATGAAAGCAATAAAAGTGCGGAAAATAAAGATTCTTTGCTATTACAATCATTAGGGGGATGGGGTGTAGATATTTACGAATGAGGATTGCAAATAAAATTAAATCCTAAGTTACTATTACAACCATATTGAAATGTACAATATGAGAAAGAAAAAGGACTTGTTTAGAAAATGTTTTTTTTATCTTAATGAAAAAGAAATAAATTAATAAAAGAAAAATATTTTTGTGTCTTTTTATGTTAATGTTAAAAATGATGAAAAGGAAAATAAATGAAAGATAGAAACAACGTGCTGCTGCAAGAAAAACAGCAAGGATCGGAAGTTCTGAAGCCAGGCGCGTGATGACTCAGCAGGAGACGTCAGTGGGTGTCAGAAGTTCTGAGTTGGTAAATTCTGGGGTCCTGCAAGGAACATTAGAGGGGAAACACAAAAGTTATGGGTGGTATTCAGACAGTGGACCACAAGTCAGAAGTTCTGTATTACACTAAAACAATGAGTAAACCCCAAAAATTCAGTGTATTGTCAGCATGTAAAAATCAGAAACTCTGAGTGTGTAAAAACAGCGAATGGAAACATCAGAAGTTCAGTATGTTTGACATGTAGGGAGAACTCAGAAGTTCTGTGCTGTGTTAGAACAGTGAGTGAATCATGGAAATTCTATGTGTTAGAGTGGTGAGTGAAAAACAGAAGTTCTGTGTTACATTTCAGCTCTTTCCTTATATCAATCAGCACAACGATAACTTATTCAGTTTTCAGCAAACAGCAAATCAGAAGGATAAAAGCATAACAGTTTATGGAAGTTCTGATCCTGGTCCTGAGTCTAGCCTTAATCAGGAAATTCTGATCCTCAGTTTTTTCTGCTTACGCAGTGATATGGACAACATCAATACTATGATATTTACATGTTTAATGATATTCTGAACGAGAAGATGCAGAGTCAGGGAGACTTACCTTGAACCTGGAGCGTGTGTTTGGGACTTGGACTACTGCCTTTAGATATTCTGAGTCAGCAAGAGCAACGGAAGGGGAAATGCCAAGCTCTTTGATTCAAAAGGAAGAACAAAGGTTTGGTTTTCTGTTTGGGATTTCTGGATTTTTATGAAGGGGTTCCACAGATTTCTTTTCTCTCTTTTGATGATTCACTCTCTTCAAAAGCTAGCCCCCTTGCAAGTGTGATGGACCAACTTATTTATAGGTGAACTTGTTGTGATTTTGGGGGGGGGGGGGGGGACAAAATGGGATTTAAACTTTTTTTTTCACACTGTTCCATTGCTTTTTGATCACAGCTTTTTGTATTTGGTGCAAATACAGGATTTGGGATAATGCAGGCGTGGACTGGATTAACTGTTGGTTAGAGTACTGTACTGTAGCAGTGCAACAAGTTGTTTAAACGAGGTATTGAGATTTGGTGATGTTCTGATTGCAAAAGATCAGAAACGTAAACTCCAAATGCTGAAGGGGCATGTTTTGACAGGAGAATATTGCTTCCATATATTCTGATTGAAGCGTCATATTCTGAACCATGTTTGCAACTTCTGACTGCACTTGCGTAGAGGCTGGCTCAGAAGTTCTGAAGTACCATATTCTCTTTACACTTGGAAAATTTTCTAAACATTTAGAAATTTGATTTTTTCAAAGTAACTTCTAACTTCTGATTTTTGATGAACCAATTTCATGCCTTGATGAAATATGATTCTTGGAACTTGATTTTGATCCAAAAGTCAAAGTTTGACTTTTTAGTGTGCAAAAATGACCATTTTGCCCTTGTGAATAACTTTCTTGGAAAATTTGTAATTCAAGACTTGAAATTGGATGGAAGCAAACCTGAGGGTCCAGGTTGATCCTTTGAGAAATGAGAGGGCAAATTTTGGGGTACAACATTAGCGTTATGATTTAGTGTGTTCATATCTTTGTACAAATTACTCTAAATTACTCAAAGTACAAGTGTTTGAGAAACGAGTTGTTATAATGTACATATGATGCACCAGATTTATATTTATTGCCATTCATTTTCAATTGAAGTTTTATACTTTCATTTTAAGTTTAAATCAAAAGCCTTTTACATACTAGTCTTTTCTTTAAAGCGTTATATTACTACCTTTGAAATAACAATCTCCATCGAAGAAATTGATAAACAGAAAGATAAGAAATCAAACTAAACACATGTCCTTAGGATCAATCTGATTGATCCTATAAGTCACTAATCTTTTCTTTGATTTGGAAGACCAACGATTATTTATCAAATTTCACGATAAACAGAAACACGTAAAAAAATGCTCCCCGACAATCATGAGAGTCTAAAATATTTTATTAGATCTTTCTTAAAGTAGTACTGAACTGGACCGTATCTGAAAGTAGACGAACCACTTACCTAATCCAAAACTATTATTATAAAAATATTTACTTTTAAAATAATTATATTAACAATATATACTCTATATAATATTTTAGATGTATTGGCTATTTTAATGAAATCAATTTTTTTTGTTATAACATCGGGAGGAAGTAACATATATGGAATTAATATTAATTAATAATCATGTTATATATCTACTTTTAGCATAGTAAGTCGTACCATTCATTAAATTATAACCACCTTATGCTAATTTATCTCCACAATAATCTAAATAAACTAAATTCTTTTCTAATATTACTCCCTCTGTTAAATTTTATATATATCAAATAAATTAGTTATTAATTAATAAATTTAAAAAATGAATTTATTTTATAATGGGAGACAGAGAGAGTATCAGTGAAAAGAAAATCCTAAACTCAAGAGATTACTATTCAACCACTCAAACAAGAAATAAATAATTTAAAACAAAAAAAAAAGATAATTTCCGAAACCCAAAATTCAAATTTAGTGGAAAGCTGCTACCGCTGAAACAAAAGAGATAATTTGCAAGCAATGAATAAATGGTGAACGAAAATCACCACCGCCAAGTAGAGGATCCAATCGCCAACTACTCGGGTCTTTCTCTTTTCCGCTCAACATTTTCTCTTCCATCTTCAAAACCCTACGACGATTTCGATCTCCACGCCATTCACAACGTTCTCATATCCATGGTAACTCCTCTCTCAGCTCCCTTTTCGCTTCTCTCTCGTTTCAATTTCAGTTTAGGGTTGCTAGTTTCAGGAAATTCGAGTTGCTTTTAGTTTCATTGTTGTTAGGTTAGTATGAATTTGAAGTTGATTTTGTTTCATTGTTGTTAGGTTAGTGAGAATTTGAACTTGATTTTAGTTTCATTGTTATTAGGTTTGTGAGAATTTGAAGTTCATTTGAACTTGATTTTAGTTTCATTATTATTAGGTTAGTTAAAATTTAAAGTTGATTTTAGTTTCACTGTTATTAGATTAGTGAGAATTTGAAGTTGGTTTTAGTTTCACTGAGGTTAGTGAGAATTTGAAGTTGACTTTAGTTTCATTGTTATTAGGTTTGTGAGAATTTGAAGTTGGTTTTAGTTTCACTGAGGTTAGTGAGAATTTGAAGTTGATTTTAGTTTCATTGTTATTAGGTTTGTGAGAATTTGAAGTTGGTTTTAGTTTCACTGTTATTAGGTTTGCGAGAATTTGAAGTTCATTTTAGTTTCATTGTTATTAGGTTTGTGAGAATTTGAAGTTCATTTTGTTGAAAAAGAATTACAAGTGTGAGTAGTGTGGGGAAGTCACACATTGGTTAGGAATGTGGAGACTTGAGCATTTATAAGTGGGAGAACCCCACACCTATCACCTTAAGGTTTTGGTGAGTATGTGGTGTGTCTCTCGCAAAAGTGTGTTGCACAAAAGGAAATTCTCTAAGTGTACAAATGCTCCCTCGTATTGACTCCCCTGAATTGATCCAACAGATTTTAGTTTTGTAATCGTTAGGGTTGTGAAAATGAATTTCAATTTTGTAATTGTTATGAACTTCTTCTTGTAGTGATTAAAATTCAAAAACCACTTCTGGTAATGATTCAAATTCACAAACCTAAGAACAGTGAGTTGTGTGGTGTGACGAATTAGCACCTGAATTAATGTCGTTTATTTCTACTTGAAGAACAAATGTTGTGGTTTCCACATTCACGAAATGTAATGTAAAAAGAAAATAATTAGCTTAATGAGAATTTGAAGTTGATTTTAGTTTTGTAATTGTTAGGGTTGTGAAAATGATTTTCAGTTTTGTAATTGTTAGGGTTGTGAAAATGATTTTCAGTTTTGTAATGGTTCAAATTCACAAACCTAGGAACAATGAGTTGTGAGGTGTGGATGAGCACCTGAATGGATGTCGTTTATTTCTAGTTGAAGAATAAAAGTTGTGGTTTGCACATTCACGAAATGTAGTGTAAAAGAAAACTAAGCAAGATGAGGATAATTTAAGGCTTAAAAGTGCAATCAAAATACAACATGAAGGACAAATTCGAAAAATTAATTAATTAAAAGGACCAATTCGAAATAAGCGTCAAACATAAATAATAGCAGACATAGTTATGCCTTTATTTTGCTATTTTTAGAGTAATGGAAATGGTTGTTCTTTACAAGAAATTGGAGTTTGTTTTAATTTTAGTTTAGCATTAATTAATCTAGCATTAAAATAGTAAACTATAACATTGATAATTAATAACTGTGATCTGTGTTTTGTTATGTTTGTATAGGATTTGGGAAATTCTGCTAAGCTTGTAGAGCAAGGCAAGTCTGTATTAGAATGTAATTCAGGATTCAACATGGAAAATTCAACAATAGATGTTGGAGATGATGCTGATTTTGCTGCTGAAGAGGATGAAGAATTTCGTCGGAAAAAAAGGGGACCAGGTTTAGGTCTCAATCGTGTCCGTCCACGTTTCTCGCTTAAGGAGACCAAAAAGTAATGGTTATTGGGTGTTTGTGGTCTTTTTATTAGTCTCAGTGCTGACTTTTAGTTTTTTATTTGTGTAAATGTTTCTCATGTGTTCGATATTTGACAGGCCCTCTGTTGAGGATTTATTACCGGTTTTGGACTTCAGAAACATCAAAGACCCTAACGAATTGTTCATGGCCCATGAACGGTTAGAAAGTACGCAATGTTTTTTTTTCCTGATTGCACCATGGATGCATTTTGTTTTTTGCTTGTTATCTTATCTTCTGCATTTTTTTTTTTATAGATGCAAGAAAAGAAATACAAAAGCAGTTGGGTATCGTGCCATCTGAGTCAACTCTGGGTTCAACTAAACCACGGGAACGTCGACCGGGACTTCCAGGGTTTAATCGGAGGTACTGGCCAAATTCTTCTTTAACCGTCAGACTCCATTGTGTTTTTATGTCCTTTGTCATTCTCTTTTGGTTGTTTGATGTGTTTTTATGTCCTTTGTCATTCTCTTTTGGTTGTTTGATGTGTTTTATTGTTATATTGGTAAGGCCAATAAAATTCAGACCTAGTATTTCACAAGAAACTTTGGACAATAATGCTCATGCCCTATCCTCCCAAGAAGCATTTGAATCTGACAGTCTAGATCCTGTTGGTGATAACACTGAGAAAGGCAAAGCTTCTCTTGTATCATTGGATAATGAAGTAACTGGTGAGTGAAAAAAGCTCTATGCAGTATAGCAAGACTTCATAATCCCTGTGCGGATCTTATTCGCTATATTCTCCTACAGTTGTTTTTTCTTTGTATTAGTACCTTTCTTGTCACTCTTATTTTGCATTCTTTAAATGACCTTGATTGTGGCAGGTTCATCAGCTGTTAAAGAGAAAAAGGTCAATGACATTTTGAAAGGATTGCTTACTCTTGATTCTGAAGAACTAGAAGGGTTTGGAGCAATGAGTCGTTTGCAGGAGAGGTTACAGATCAAACCCGTTGTTTTTGAGAAATCATCCGTTCCAGATTTCCCAGATAGCCAACCAATGGATCTGAAATCTTCGCATGGAAATTTGTCGAAGCCAAGTAAGGCTTGTTCCGACATAAGTAATTTGTTGAAAGGAATAGACATTAAGACGCCTCTTAGGCAGGATGTAGGATACTCTGAGAAGCAATTAGCTTCACCCACACCTCCAAGATCTCCATCTGTTTTGTTTTCAACAATGCAGAAGCACATTTCACACTCAAAGCCATCAGTGGATCCATTTTCAGCTCATGAAATTGATCATGGATCTACAAAAGAAAATTTGCCAACTCATATGGTAAACCAAGAAGTAAATATTGTTGGTTCTAGTAAGCCGTCAGATGAGCTGGGTGCACCTATAATTGAAGATGTTATTGCTGCTGGCAAGACAAATAAAATTCTGGACACTTCTGCACAATCCAAGGAAGACAATTCTAGGAAGTTATCAGAACAACTAAAAGCATCTTTAACTGAAAATGAAGTTGCAGTTAGTGAGACTTGTTCAGTTGACGATCCTATCAGAAAGTGCATCAGTACTCCTAAAAAATCCAAGGTGGATAATTCTAGGGAACTTGGTTTTAATGCTAATGTTGACTCGAATGAACCTCCTGTTGACATGGATCTAGATATTGGAGGTAGTGGTGTGGGAAAAAGGGTTATGGATGACATAGGGGAAGGGCAAAATGTCGAGCCAAATGAACCTGATCAATTTGAGGACGAAGTATGTTAGCTCTGAATATTTTAGTTTAATAATATTAAATTGTGTTGAAGGTTTAACTGAAATCTGAATGAATTGTATTTTGATAGATGCTGGCAGAAAATATGCAGGAAACTTCAGATTATATACCGACAGATGATTCCAATTTCAATTTGGTGAATCCACTAGGTATGTATATATATTCACAACATTTTATAAGAAAAAACCTTACTCTAATTTTATTTTTCAAAAAGATCAATGTTATCTTTTGTCTATGAAGCTGGCCTTTCCTAGTCAGACAAGACTTGATTATTGTTATTGTTTTTTGGTGAACTAATATAATGCAATGACCTCTGCACATCGGTTTCCCTTTGATCTGAAATCGAAGAATTTGATTTTAAATTAGTGTTCCTGTACCTTTGATGGCACTAACTCACTTATGATATGCATTAGCTGATCAATCAAATCCAGATGTGCATGAAGACATAGCTGATCAATCAAATCCAGATGTGCATGAAGACATAGCTGATCAATCATATCCAGATGCGCATGAAGACAATTCTGCCGAGAATAGGTCTAGAAGATCAGAGGATAGTCCAAAACAGTGTTTGCAGGTTCCTAGCTTTACTGTTTCTTTTTATACCTCAATCTTTAAATTATTGGTATCTTAACAACTCAATTGTTTATCAAATAATGACACTTTCGAATTGAATCTTTGTCTTCTGGTACAGGAAAAAACAGTTGGTTCTGTGGCACCCGTTAGTGGACAAAAGAGAGTTAAAACGCGTGCACAAAAAGCGCCCAAGAGCAAGAGACTTCGGCTGAGGAAGAGCCTCGCAGGTTTGTACTTGTTATCTCATTAAGTTTCGAGAATTTTGTTTGTTGTCAAGTTATATTGTTATCCTATTCTTCCAGATGCTGGTACATCATGGGAATCGGGAGTAAGGAGAAGCAGCAGGTTCAAGACAAGGCCTTTGGAATTTTGGAAAGGGGAAAGAATGGTGTATGGCCGTGTACATGAGAGTGAGTACAATCATAGTACTTTTATATGTAGAAATTTGGCCTAATAGTAACAGAAGCTATGCTGTTTAAAAATTATCAACACATAATAGCCGATTAAGATATTTTTGATTGTGAAATTACATTGTTTACTGTATGATTAAAAAAATTATTTGTGCAGGTTTGACTACTGTCATTGGAGTGAAGTGCTTCTCTCCGGGAGCTGATGGCAAACCGATTATGAAGGCGAAGTCATTTGTCTCAGATAAGCACAAAAAGCTTTTTGAGTTTGCTTCTAAATATTGAGATTACTTGTCTCCAGGATGTCACGGTGTAATTAAATTTTCAGTACTAGTTGTTATGATAAACAGAATTGTGATTATTTCCTCTGTTGGATAATGGATGTACTGAGATGCCTTGTCTCCATCTAATCTTGTAGGAGGATCTTATTTGAATTCAAGATCTTCGGTTGAATTAAAAGATATCTATCTCATCTCATTCAAATGCTGTAGAGTAGCTTACATTTAATTAACGTTTTTTTTTTTGTAATACCAATATAATGTTTTATTATATTTTTATTTGTTAATTTTCACTTTATTTAAATACTCTACTAACTATCATTACTATAGATATTTTAGTAAATAATGTAATTTCTTTATTAAAAGCAATACATCTAATGATTTTTTTAATAACAACGCACATCTCAAATATTATGTTCTTATAAAATGAATGAAGTAATTTATGGTAGCTCATAAAATAGTTGATAGTGAACAAATCAACTAAATAAATGATAAAATAGTTGATAGTGAACAAATTAACTAAATAAATGATGATGTAATATTTAATTAAATTAACAGTTTAAATGATTCATAATTATGAAATAAGTTAATAGAATATATATTTACGGATGAATAATTAATAAGGAAAAATAATAATGAAAATAATTTTATTTAAAAATAGAGTGAGTTTTTAGAGTTAAGATAAATGTGGAAGTGAAGAAGAATTTATTAATAAAATTAGTGGAAAATTAGTGGAATATCCGTGTGCGTGTATTATGCATTTATTTTTAAAATATAATAAAAATATAAAAAAGAAAATCTAAATTATTTTACTAAAATATTTATTATTTTCAAAAGAAAAACATATTTTAATTTAGACCAGTTCTCTATTATTTATGAAACAATACAACAACAAATCATGTTATGTTATATATTCGATGAGCCTGACAAACAAGTAATCATCGCCAAGTAGAAATACAATAACAATACATGATTCAGACCAAGAAACCGCTAAGATCAGCTATCTAACAAATCTAAGTGTACAAAAGTATAAGGCAAACATATGCATTTTTTCCATTCTACACATTGACTGCTACTATCTTTTCTGCAGAACTTTTCTTCATAAATTCTCTGGCGTACAACTCATTCAATAACCCCAAAGCCTCCTCAACAAATCCTTTATAAGAAATGCCCTCAATAAGAATTGTATACGTACCTTCAGTAGGTTTGCATCCTTTTGCTATCATATGAGCCAGAAGATCAATAGCACGCGATAGCTGTCGGTAAGGAGTACTGTTGGATCCACCATTAACACAAGGGCCACCTCCCTTGTTAGCGCTAACTGGCCTAGCAGAACTTAGTTTTGAACAAATACAAGAGAACTTACACAAGTATGTTTTAAAAATTCCAGTTCATGCAAAAGCTACAAATACACCAAAACTCAATGGAAATAACTGTACAATAGCAGTTCATGTACTAAATACAAATGCCTGGAATTGGCACATGCTAGAATGAATATGCGATACTTATATGGATAACGCTATGGTTTCCAATAGCATCGTCGAGGAAAACTTCCATAGCCCAAAGAACCGATGTGTGGCCAGTATCAACAATAATTGTTGATGGAATTATCCACTTTGCCTCTATAAGGCGAGACCTTGATAACGCTGCTATGCCAAAACATGTCGTCTCCGTATCAAAAACCAGCAGAACTCTATGTCATGTGACTATAAGTTCACAAGGGTATATCATGTTGAACATGTATCGACGACATGGTTATCACAGAGGAGTGCAAAAATGCCACAATAATAGAGTTAGTGATAAAAAGTATGAATCACTTATCTTTCAAATGGCGACCTCGGCACAACGATTCACGCTTCATTCAGTTGGACATTCTGTTGTCAAATTCTGCAGGGACCTGCGACTGGCAGTGCGAGCCCCATGTTTGTCCAAAATTGGAGGCGGCCATGAACTCGGTAGCCCTGAGCCGATGAATCATTCACATTTTTAATGATACATATGTCAGCTACTTTGATAGTTGATACTAAATAACAGTCGAATTTTTGTGAGCTAAAGACACAAGTTCATGAGGCATCTGTCATACAACAGGCTTTTCTTCATGCAACGCGTCATATTTTTGGCATCCAACTGTCAGTTATATCGTCATGCCTCTATTACACTAATATTAATATGAGTAGCAGCTCCTACCATTTTACAAACCAACCATCTGACTTAGCGGTCTAGGAGATCAGAAAGATGTAAGAATGACAAGAATTTCAAATAGGCATCCTACTACAAAATTTATACAACCTAAAAATATCTACCAAGTGTTATGAAATGGAAGCACTTTACCTTCATGAAATCTTCATGAATTACATAATCAAGTTTTGTGCGTATGGGAGTAAATTTTAGCACTGGATACAACCTAAATACTAAAATTTTAACTTTGATTAAAATAACACATCAAGTTTGTCATAAGCTAAATTCAGTTGTAACAGATATATAAATTTGTCATTTTCTATTTAGATTATTTGTGATGAAGCCACTGTCAATTATAACAGACTATAATCTTAATTCAATTTCACGTGTTTTAATTATTAATAATGAGGATATCTTATTTAGAATCTACAAAACCTACGCAATCGCCACTAGTGAGACAAATTCTGAGAAACACTTCGTCGGACAAGCTGGCGAGATAAATGATTATTTTATGCCATCATATTAAAATTAAGCTTGTTAATGATAGGGAAATATAATCCAAATGAAAAACATAGAACAAAACTAAATGCCTGCTAGTTACATACTTGAGAGATACAGAAAATGGTCCAAGACTCTGGTGCAATTTATAATGATCATGCATGTAAGCTAAACCTCTCCGTAGTAAATATTAGACTGTAAATAGTAATTGATAATATTAGTAAATGAGGCCCATTAGGGTTTCTATTCTCTTTTTATTTAAGCATGTAGTTACAATATTGTCCGTACAACTATTGATATATCAGTGAAATATTTTTACAACATGGTATCAGGAGCTCCCGATTTTGGGGTTCTCATTTCCGCATAAACCCTAGACGCCCTTGTAGCTCTCTCTCTCTCTCTCTCTCTCTCTCTCTCTCTCTCTCTCTCTCTCTCTCTCTCTCTCTCTCTCTCTCTCTCTCTCTCTCTCTCTCTCTCTCTCTCTCTCTCTCTCTCTCTCTCTCTCTCTCTCTCTCTCACTGTTCACTCATATCCGTAACCCTACACTGCTTGTTTTTCTTTGATCATCATATCACCATCATCGTCTTGTTGAGACGAGTCTGACGCAACAAACACCATCTCTATTCTTTATACCGACAAGTGAGATCCACACACATTGTCATCAGAATCACCACCAAAATTTCCCAATTTCATCATCTGACCTTCCTGATTCTGTTTTCGTGATCAAAATAACGGTCAAACGTACTTCGAATTTAAGGTATTTTGTATTTTTCTTTGTGATTTAATACATATCTGATGTTTATTCCTCTCTATTGTCCCTTCAATGGCTGAGATTATTAACGAACCTCCAACTCCGCGTCCACCTCCGCCTCAACGTCCCACAAATCCACCAGCCCCATTTAATCCTAAGGATTTTGTCATTCAAAAAGATTACTTGCTTATTGTTGTACCCCAAAATTTGCCCTCTCTTTTTCAAGACATTCCTCACAAAGGATCTCCAATGCTCAAGGATTCTCAAGGAATTGGTCAGACAAAATCATCCCCGAAGCACTGAGACTCCAAACTAGGGTTTTGATTGAGAATGACCAATCTTTGACTTTTAACTCAGTACATGACTTATTGGTTCGAAACATAATCTCAAGGGTTCAAGTACATCATTTTGACTTAATCACATATTTCAATTCATCTCCCGAGATCAGTGGGTTGATATATGAAATTTGGTCAACCGATGAAAAAGTCAACTGTACACTAAAAAGTCAAACTTTGACTTTTCGATCAAATTTGAGTTTCAAAAATCACATTTCACCAAGACATTCAAAATATGAAATTTGATCATCAAGAAATCAAGAAAATCTAAAGTCAAACTTTGCAAGATTTAGAAATTTTTCTAAGTGTTTTTTCTATACATGTTAATTTCATTATTTCATGACATCTTTTCACCACAATTCAAGACAATTCAAGTTGTTACAAGCTTTCAAGTAAACAACAAGGCTGCATTGTTAAGTTAAAAATTACAAGTTACAAATCCTAAACTTTTGTCTTGTTTGAACTTTTCCCTTTGACTCAATCTTCAAACTTTGCCACTATGCTATCCACAAACATGCCTTGTCTTTGTTACAAGCTGCATAAATTTGTCCACAAAACCAGACTTGTATCATGCTACAAATGTTACTGTCCAAGAAAGCCCCAAAAACAGATATGCTTCCAAATCCAAGTCTGATGCTACTAGCCCAAAACCATGTCAAAAAATAGTCTGCTTCTCTGTACAAAGCTAGCTCTGCACCAACCTGCCACTCCACTCTAAAACTGCTACAAAACAGTCCTGCTATGCTGCCTCTAACCCAGTCCAAGCCTACACTATATCAGTCTCATATTTGCACAAAATTAGCACATAAGAGTTGCATCTAAAAAGCAATAAAACAATATACCCAAAGAGTTCAAAAAACTTATCTATTTCCCTCCCAAATTTCAGTCCATTTCATCTATAAATAAGCTGTTTCACAACACACAAAGGAAGGATTTTGGAGAGAGTTTTTTTGAGAGAGGCTTCTGTTAAAAGAGAAAGAGAAAGAAATCTGAAAAAATCCAACATAAATTTTTGTAACCTCTGCTCATCTTCAGCTCTATCTTCATTCACAAAAACAAAACCTCAACCCACTGTTCCACCTTGCAAGCCTTCCCATAAACTAACTATCCAAACACTTCACATCACATAGAGATTGTTCAAACACAAGAATAGTTTATGTAGTGCCATTATCACCACCTTCTAAACACAAACAAAAGATAGTATTGTACAACTTTACTGGATTGGAGTGATTCAACAACTTTCAA